CAAAAAGTGAATCACGCAACCCCCAACAAACCCCCTTCTAAGTCAGGCATATAGCCACCCTAAAACAACTGTATTTCTTAGTTTCTTTCTCCAAAACAGAAGGAAGCTTGAGGTCTATACCCAGGACAGCAGAAAGCGGCTTTCCTCTTTCTTGTATCTTCCTAGTTTTACTTTTAAGCTTTGACCCGTAAAAGCAACTCTATCAGATTACTACACAATTATTTGTTGACCCCGAAGAAAATGCAACCATCCTAAGCATTAGTACAAGATTGAGTAGTGACTGATAGAATATATGAGGCTATGATAGGATACCCGACAAATTCAGACTGACTTATTCAAGAAGGGGTAAACGTGCCAGAGAAGAGTCAGTTTTGGAGTAGCAATTTACATGTTTTTTATTTTAATATTTCCCTGTTCTTTTTCTGCTAGCATATTTTCAGTTCCGAAATAAGAGGGATAGCCCTCTCCAACGTTAGGATTAGTTGCTGATTTATCGTTGATTGGAATCATTTGATTTTCAACTGATTTTCTCTCTGTAATTTATTATAAAAAGGCTATCTGGCCGCAGGAATAAACACGACAATTCTTCAGAGAGTATATTTGTATTGGAGATCCTCCATCGGTCCTTTAGAGAGAGTGCTGTGAGATCCTTGCCGCTCTTTTTATTGGAATTCTTTGCCGTTACTTTGCCCTTTTTATTTCCGTTAGATTAGGTCCCTACCAGGCTACATCAATCTAGTTTCCCTATTCTTTTTAACCGAGCCATCAATACAATATTTTTTGGAGTCATTACCTGTATTATTGACAATCAAAATCACAAAAATAAAAATTATTCTCAAGAATCAATAGAACGACCTCATCATTAATGCTTCTTACTCGTGTTCCCAAAATTATAACATGGTCTTCTACATGCTACAAGGGTCTTTTTCATTGAGGAAGTAACAAATTTATAACATCATTATTGTATCAATATAATAACTTTGACAATAAATTGCATTTATTGAAAACAACAGTAGTAAGTAGTAACTTAATCTTATTCATTAATAAGATTAAGAAAAACTTAACCGCAGCATCTATATTGTGTTCAAAGAAACAATCAAGTGAGGCATTATCACCATGTGGAGGTAAAAATGCAGCAGGAACAGCATACCATAGTCATGCAAACATTATTGGAGGAACTACAAGTGCATCGTTATGCATACTTCAGTAACACAATACCAAAACACTAAGGTTGTAAAAGGATGAATAATTTATTAGCTTTTACTCAAAAGAAGCAAGCATTTTCAAGCCAATTTAGGGAAATATTACGATTAATACAAGTAGGATAAAAATGGAGCATTCAACCATGTTTTAGGGTTTTAGTAGACCAGTGTCTATCATTACATGAATAAGCAGCTCTGCTTTATCATTCTCATTCTTCATCAGGAGAGCTCCAACAAGTGTTGTAAATGTCACCAAATTCGGGAGGCAGCCATTCTCTTTCATTCTTGAAAGCAATGTCAGTGCTTCACCGAACAAGCTTTCTTTGCATAGTCCATTCATCATAATGCTGTAAATATAGACATCTACATGATGACCTTCAGTCAAAAGCAATTCAAAGATCCCACGTGCCAAATTTAACCTACCACCTTTGCACAAACCATCGATGAGCATACTATATGTATGAACAGTAGGTTGCATTCCTTGATCGACAATTTGTTGATACAATATAATTGCCTCGTCAAGAAGTTTCATTTTGCAAAATGCATCTAGCAAGATATTGTAGGTTATTATATTAAGAGCCTGACCATACTTACGCATCTCATAAACAAGATCTTTCACATGTGATATTCTCTTAGCTTTGCACAAGCCATCAATAAGAGAGCTGTAAGTGACTATATCAGGCTGCAAATTTTTGCAATGCATTTCTTTAAACAGATCTAGGGCTTCATCCACCATTTTTAATTTACAATATGCATTAATCAATATATTGCAACTCACAACAGTAGGTGTCAACTCAGCTTTGATAATCTTATTGAACACTGCTATGGACTCATTAACATCATTACTCATACAATAGCCATTCATCAAAGAATTAAAGGTAATAACATCAGGTTTTACACAACACTTCATCATCTGAGCAAATACAGCTTCAGCTTCTATGATCTTTCCTCTTTTGCAAAATACATCAATTATTATATTAAAGGTATGATGAGTAGGAGTGATGTCTTTCATGACTATTTCATTTCGCAACCTAAGAGCTTGTTGCAATTGGTTGGTATTGGAGAAACCATAGATTAAAGTGGTGTAGGTGACAATATCAGGAGATATACCTTGACTGATCATTTGAGAACACAATTCAGATGCCTGACTTACTAGCCCTTCTTTACAAAGGCCATCAATGACTGTGTTATATATAACCAAGTTCGGCTTAATTTTAATTCTCTGTCTCCCCATCATTTGGAGCAACTTAACAGCACATCTTGTTTGTCCAGTTTTGCAAAGCCCATGAACTAAGATACCATAAGTAACCGAGCTTAAGCAAAATCCTTTTGTCAACAAGTCATCGTGGAAATCCAGTGCTTGCCCTACATCTTTCATGCAGAGTCCTTTCATCAACGTATTCATTGTTACCGTATCTGGTCGATAACCCCACTTGAAAATCTTCCCCGATGAAGAGAAAGCAGAAGTGATATCGCCCACTTGACAGTAGCAATTGATCAAAATTTTCAGTGTAACAAAAGATGGTTTGAACCCTTTCAATTCCGCCTGGGCATAAAGTGAGATAGCAGTGGTGGAGTGTTTGGTCTTTGCAAGTGATCCTAAAATCCTATTAATTTCGACAATGGAGGGCGGGGGAGTCATGGAGAGCAAGCGACTGAACTAAGCTATGGGATCTCGGAGGCTACTAGGGTTGGGGAAATGAGAGTTAAAACAAAATCGCAGATTGAGGAAGGAAGGGAGTGAAAGGAGAAAGGCAAACGGAGGAGATTGGAGAAAGCCAGGAGATATGGGGAAGGCGTACCTCAAAGTAGCAGAAAAGAACAGCATCTTCAGATGAGATTGGAAGAGGAATGCGATGTACAGAAGCTCCTTCACCAAATGGGAAATGCCAGGAGCATGGCCGGGTGGAATTGATACTGCCTTTTTGGGGCAACCGTTGAAACTGGAAAGAGGTTTAGATCAGTTTTAGGGTGCGTCCGGAGACAGGGAAAGCCAGGGCAAGGGAAAAAGGGAATATTTTGATGAGTTTAATTTTTGGAAAATAGAATTAAAAACTTTTAATTAATTTTTATTACTCTTATGTTTTCGGCTTTTTGCTTAATCAAAATTTTAAAACCTTTCTTCTTTAATTTTTAAAATAGAACTCATTAAAATTTTCTTTTCCTCTCCTCTACTTCCTTGTGCTTCCCTCATACCAAACATAAGACTAGAAAATAATAATAATAATAATAATAATAATAATAATAATAATAATAATAATAATAATAATAATCTTTCAGCTATAGTCTATACTACGTGGAGAAAATCACTTCCTCTAATTATATCATTGAATTTCCTGGCCTTGATATTAAACTATATATAAAACTTTATCTGCAAATTAGATCCATATGACTTTCTCTTTTGCCCGTCTCTTTCTCAAACTCAAATTCCCTTTATTTAAGAAAACAAAAGTAATAGAACAACTAAGAGTCACTTTAAATATTTTTTTTTCGTTGCTTGACTATCTTGATTTTACATATAAGATACAAATAATCAAATATAAACAAATGGTTAAAATTAATTAAAGGCTAGAAATGCATAAAATATGTATTAATTTTTTCAAATATACTATTATTTATAAAGAGGGTGAGAGAGAGACTGAATGAGAAATAGAGATGAGAGAAAGTCCACCCAGAGAACGAATAGAACAAGTGAAAAAAAATGACTTAAATTTTTAAACACATGCAAAGTGTAACTTATACATGAAGCCAGATAGAGTAACTTCATTATACTTCTCTAATCATTAATATAAAACCTAATTAGGATGTTGATGTTGATTATATATATAAACTATTTTACATGTTTATTAATTTTTTCTTAAATTAACTTTACTAATATTCTCCAAACAACAATTAAGTAACAAAAACAAGAAAAGAATTAAGAAAAATACTTAGAACATTTTTTTAAAAATATTATATTAATTAATTTAAATAATATTTTTAATTTACTCCAATTTGCGCTTGATAAAACTGTTGAGTACGCACATGTAAAAAGGATCATATTTTAACTCTAGCCACCGTTTCATGAAGCAGCCTCGATGCTCCATAATTCTCGCCTTTTTTTTTCAGGAGCTTGAGGTTGAATAATTTAATATTAGTACCAACAGCAATATGAATATTTAAAAAAAACTGTTAATACAAATTTTTGTCTTTCAAATTGACACTCCTTTGGTTTTCATCTCTTAAGTTTTAAATTATAAGTTGTGATACCTAAATTTCTTTTTCGTTAAAACATTAGTCTCTATAATCCAATAAAAACTTGAATCATTTTGCCCCAATAAACTAAAACTTATTATTTGAAATTTGAGAAACTAAAACCAAAATAAGAGCAAATTTGAGTGACCAAATATTATATTAACCAAGGGGGGAAGAAAAAAAAGACTCCTCCCCTTTCTTCGATTTTACAGGGTTCAACTTTGAATAGACACAACTGAATAGACACAACTACATTGTTGAATAACGTGAAGTCGGGAACCATTTCCTGGATTAATTAAAAAGAACACTTAAATTGTTTTGAAGAAGCTTGAAACCTCACAAATAGCCCTTTCATTGTTTTGCTAAAGGACAACTCTATTAAAAAGACTAAACGTTATTAAGAGAAGGAAAGGAGAAGGAACCAAAAGCACAAGCCAGGCAAGCAAACCAGAGGCCCAACAGATCAACAAACAAGTGACCAGCGCCAGACAAAAGTGAACAAAAACAAAACATGACAAGAAATGCGAAGATCATTATACGGCAAGCGTAACTGATGAATATGTGTGAACTGCAAAAGTTGACAATTTTCAATATTTATAAATTTTGTTATTTTGAATAAACTTTGAAAGCTATTATATTAAATTAAAGTGAAACACCAAAGTACAAAAAACATCAACAGAACTTTCATCAAACGCCCCCCCTTCAATGAAGGAGGGGGTACCTGGGTGTAAAGACCAATGCTTCCTCAATGATGTAAATAAAGAATCAGCGCTATAATTACCTTCCCTATAAATCATTCAAAACAGAACATCCAAAACTCTTGAAACCATTCTTCTTGCTTCTTCATTGATGTCTCTAACCGGATGATCGCAGCAAGTTTCCCCAGTCAAGTAGTTACTTGCTTTTGATCACAATCTGGATAAGCTTGGCCTTTTCTTGTACCCTTTTCACAGCATACAGTCAGACCTGCAATAATCCATATAATGCCGGTTATTAAGGCATTAACTGTATTCACCCATCTTTCTGCAGAAACGAATCACCCAACTCCCCCATCACATTCTTTATAACTCCACCGCGTGAACTACTTCCAGAGGCACAAACTGACCCATCTATTTCTAACTTGAAGCATTTTTCCACCATCAATCTTCATATAACCTCTCCGTTGCAAGTATTATACCCTTTAAAATCATGAGTGGCACCAAAGTATCAATTTAGAGATGCAAGCACGACTCAAAGCAACAAATACAAGATCTACCACCAGTGAGAATACTGACCAACCAACTTGAAACAAAATCACGGTGTGCTTCTGTTGTTGCTCATGGTGTGGTTATGATAAAGTCTACGAAGGATTAACATCACAATTAATAGAAATAAAGCATAAGATAAAAATAGAGCATTTCACCTTATTTTACTGTTTCAGAAGACCTGTGTCTATCATTACATGAACAAGAATCTCTGATTTGTCACTCTGATTTTTCATCAAAAGAGCTCCAACAAGTGTTCTAAATGTCACCAAATCAGGGAGGCAGCCATTCTCTTTCATTTTTGAAAGCAATGCTAATGCTTCATCGAAAAGGCCTTCTTTGCAAAGTCCATTCATCATAATGTTGTAAGTATAGATATCTAGATGATGACCTTCGGTCACAAGAAATTCAAAGATGTCTTGTGCCAATTTTAACCTACCTTCTTTGCACAAACCGTCAATTAGTATGTTGTGTGAATGTATTGTAGGTTGTATTCCTTCATTGACAATATGTTGATATAATGCAATTGCCTTGTCAAGATGTCTCATTTTGCAAGATGCATCCAATATGATATTGTAGGTTATTATATTAGGAGCGTGACCATTGTGACGCATCTCATAAACAAGATCTTTCACATATGACATTCTCTTAGCTTTGCACAAGCCATCAATAAGAGAGTTGTAAGTGACTGTATCACAGTGTGCATTTCTTTAAACAGATCTAGGGCTTCATCCATCCTTTTTAATTCACAGTGTGCATTGATCAATATATTGTAACTCACAACAGTAGGTGTCAAATCAGCTTTGATCATCTTATTGAACACTGCTATGGACTCATTAACATCATTCCTCATACAATAGCCATTCATCAAAGAACTAAAGGCGACAACATCAGGTTTTGCACAACACTTCATCATCTTAGCAAATACAGCTTCAGCTTCTGTGATACTTCCTCTTTTGCAAAATGCATCAATTATTATATTAAAGGTATGACGAGTAGGAGTGATGTCTTTTATGACTATTTCATTTAGCAACCTAATAGCCTGTTGCAATTGGTTGGTATTGGAGAAACCATAGATTAAAGTGGTGTAGGTGACAATATCAGGAGATATACCTTGACTGATCATTTGAGAACACAATTCAGATGCCTGACTTACTAGCCCTTCTTTACAAAGGCCATCAATGACTGTGCTATATATAAACAAGTTAGGCTTAATTTTAATTCTTTGTCTCACCATCATTTGAAGAAACTTAACAGCACATCTTGTTTTTCCAGTTTTGCAAAGCCCATTAACTAAGGTGCCATAAGTGACTGAGTCTAAGCAAAAACCTTTTGCCAACAAGCCAATGCTTGCCCTACATCTTTCATGCAGAGTCCTTTCGTCAACGTAGTCATTGTTATAGTATTTGGTCGATAACCCCACTTGAAGATCTTCCCCAGTGAAGAGAACGCAGAAGTGATGTCACCCACAAGACAGTAGCAATTGATCCAAATGTTCAGTGTAACAAAAGATGGTTTGAACCCTTTCAATTCCGCCTGGGCATAAAGTGAGATAGCAGTAGTGGAGTGTTTGGTCTTTGCAAGTGATCCTAAAATCTTATTAATTTCGATAACGGAGGGCGGGGGAGTCATGGAGAGCAAGCGATTGAAGGAAGCTACGGAGTCTCGGAGGCTATTAGGGTCTGGGGAATGAGAATGAAAACAAAATCGCAGATTGAGGAAGGAAGGGAGAGAAAGAAGGAAGACATCTGGAGGAGATTGCAGAAAGAGAGGAGATTTAGGAAAGGCGTACCTTAAAGTAGCAGAAGAGAACAGCATCTTCAGATCAGATTGGAAGAGGAATGCGATGTACAGAAGCTCCTTCACCAAATGGGAAATGCTAGAAGCATGGCCGGGTGGAATTGATTCTACTTTTATTGGGGCAACTGTTGAAGGAGTGTAAGATCAGTTTAGGGCGTCTGATAACAGGGAATGCAGGTAAAGGGGGGAAAAAAATTGATGAGTTTAATTTGAAAAATTAAAAAAATGATAAATAGAATTAAAAGCTTTTAATTAATTTTTATTACTATTTCTTTTATCTTCGTTTTCCTTTAAACAAAATTGTAAAACCTTTTTTTTTAATTTTTAAAATAGAATATTATTAATCTTTCAGCTATAGTCCATACTACGTGGAGAAAATTAGTTCCTCTGGTTTGACATGATTTTGAGTAGTTTTTTTAGTGTTGGCAAGAAAAAAAATGAGTTTTTTTATCATGTGCTTATAATTTTTTTCAATTATAGGTGGTTAATATAGATCTTAACTGTACAATACATAAGTTGTAATAAAATACAAAATTAGAGAAATTAAAAATGAAATGATATTCGGTTAAAAATAAAATTTATTTATTATCAACAGAAAAAATAAAAATTATTATCCTCGTAATCATCTCTTTACTGCTACATATAACCTGTAATTTAGTTTATGTTCATTTCATTTAGATTTTTGTGGCAAAAATGTATGCTAAGTGAAACACACATCATGAGCTACTAACGACATTTCTTTTAAGAATTAACATTGAGGAAATCACATGATAACGAGTATTTATAAAAATAATTAATAATTTATATATTAATTAATTATTTTATTCAATTTTAGTTTTAAATTAAATTAAATTTGATTTCATCTGCAGTATTATGATAGATAATCCTCATAATATGGCATATTAATAACTTTAACTGTGTATAATATATAGCTCAAAAAGTCATACAATAATCTAATTCTATCAATATATTAATATTATTTTCACTATTATACCAGCGAGTCCAAAAGGTTGGTCAAAATAAGATACGCCCAGAAAAAACCTGTTAATGCTATTTCCCCTGTAATTATATCATTGAATTTCCTAGCCTTGATATTAAAGTGTATATTACCTCTAGCCCTAAATATAATAGCTAATTAACTAATATGAGTAGATTAAAAAATAAATTAAATTAGTTATTTGTAATAAATAGGTATTATTTTTCTTAAAATATTCTTACTAATCAAGTTTATTGATTAAAACTACCATTATTAAAAGAGCTATCTCGAAATAAATAAATAAATATAAAAGACAAAAAGATTGAGACTCCAAGGTAGTATAAAACTTTATCTGTAAACTAGATCATATGACTTTCTCTTTTGCCCGTCTCTTTCCCAAAATCAAATTCCCTTTTTTTAGGGGGAAAAAAACAGTAACAGAACAACTAAGAGTCACTTTAATTTTTTTTTTTTACTACCTTAATTTGCCTTAATTTGACAAAATCGGACTTTTCCAAATTTTATAAGATTTAAACACATGCATACACACAAATATAACAACGTTAAATTCAAATCCAAAGCCTTGCCTAAATGTGGCAAGTTGCCACTAGAGTGCTAGATGGCAAGTAAATTCAACTTCCACTACTTGGTTTCAATGCAAAACAAATAACTCACTAATTATGAACTTGCTTGGAAAGACTTATAAATGACTTGTCAATCATAATTTACAAAAAATAAAATAAATATGTAAGAAAAGTTTAGCAACAATTTTCAAGAAATATGCTTATAAATGATTTCAGACAGAGCATATTATGCACAACAAAAAGTGAAGGGATAACAGTGAGATGATTGCAGTACAATATGGACAAATTTTTGTTTAATTAAATATTAATAAAATAATAAAATCATTACTATTAAAAAGACAAAAACAAAAAAAGATCAATAACACTTGCTTTCATTTCCCTCGAAATCATCAAATCAAAGTACCCCTAGGAATCCTTTCATGGCGTGTATATTTTTTTTGCTCAACTGTTAGTGTATCATATACAGTAATTCTTGTACTTTCTTCCTTAACTGTTATAGCAAAAACATGGTCCTAATGTAACAAGCTATTCTTGTGGCAATTTGTTAAGATCATACCAAATCAAATTAGGGCATGAAAACCTTGCGATACACAGTGAAAAGAGGTGAAAAATAGTACTATGCTACACACTTATACAACAATGAACCAAACAGCTGCCTCGACTAATTTCTTATACCTTAGAGCAGCGACGACAATAAAGTCTTATTCCACTAAGTAGGATTAGCTGTGATATATCACACAGTATGATTGAGCTCTATCAACTAATTCCTCATGCTTTATTTCCTCAATAGAATGCAAAGATAAAAGCAAGGAACGCAGCAATATAGATAACTCAACCGTCAACAAAGATCCTTAACTCCGGCTACTTTGTGCATCCTCTTGTGAAAATCCTGTTTTGAAGTCCCCAAATCATTGATTGTCTTCATCGTTAAAACCATCCCGCTGCTAAGCATCAAGTACTCTTTTTTGGCTCTGGAATATTTAACAATTTTGAATGACGGTCAAATAAAGCAGGAAAACCACCCCACCAAATCACATACCCAAAATAAATGGCCAGGCCACAGATGAAAGTTAATATCAAGTTAGTACCACAACAATAAATAGAAAGAGATAAAAACACGGATATCCTGGTTATGTCAAGTAAACAATGACATGGCTCCGCAGAATCGTCACTTGTGTTCCTAAACAAAACGAGGCATGGCTAAAAATCATTTATTTTGAAGCCAATCTCTACAACTGCTCAAGACAAATAGCATATAGAAAATCTGCTAATCAACAAACTTTTTGTATAATCATGGTCTAAAAGACGTCTGAATGATCAAATTAATTGAATGACTATAGTTGTTTACAGGAAAGAAAGAATCAAATGTATTACCTCATCATGCCACAATAAGAGAATATGAATCTAATGCATTCTTGAAAATGAACAGAACGTAATCTTTAAGTCGCTATGGAGTAATAAAATGTTAATGGGGTCAAAAAAGCCGAACTCACCAAAATAGGCTTAAATCGCAATGATCAAAAGCATCAAGCCGGACAAAGCAACAAAATAAGCATCCATCATAAGTCGCTCTAGGAGTTTGTTTCTGCACAAACATTCCCAGTATAAGCATACCTTGATGAAGCCAATTTCCTTTGCATTGCTACAAAAAGCGCTGCTTGCAGCATATCAAGCCATATTTCCTGATTAACCCATGGGAGTTCCCACAGACTCGGCTACACAGTAACATAATCCACATATTAATAAGGAAAGAAGATGGAGGAGAGAAACAAGGTGAGTAAGGAAAGAAGGAACGAACATGACTTCCGGGGATTATGTGGGAGTAATAGCCAAAGCATCACAGAGGCAAAATTGCATCAAGTCAAAATGGCAAGGGTGTGGATGGAAATACCTGTCCAAATCAAAATGAAAATTGTATACGAGTTTGAACCCCTGGCCATTGCTTCCCTCTCTTCTTCTCGGGTCTCTGTAGCTGGCAGCAAAAATTGAGAGGCAGATAATAAACATCAAAATAAGGGGGGAACAAAAATAAAAACCCAAATCAGAAGTTCAAAGAATCTGAGAACATTAAAATAGGGGGAGTGCTAAGACAAATCAGACCTGGATAACTGGAGGTCATGCTAACGCAATGATGGCTGAGTTCCAAAAATTTCTTTATTTTCCTTCCCTGAGTTTTTCCGTTTAAATTGATGACTTGAGGGTTCCAGAAATCACAAATGAAGAAAAAAATGAATTATAAATAGATGCAATGATAGAAAATAGAAGATGAAGAAGGACATGGTAGAAAAGGGACAAATCAAGTGAAAGAGAGAGAAAAAATGCACGATTAAAAAAAAAAAAAAAAGAGCAAGGAAAAATCCCAGAGTAGTGATGTCGGTCAGATCAGTGAAAATGGATATCCACGAGTGAGTGACCGCCAGCTCAATGAGGCTGAGTGATCAAGAGAAACAGAGAAATAATAGGAGGAATGCCTTGGGGAAGAGAAAAGAAGAATTGCACATAGGAAATGAAAGAGAAGTGATGATGAAATAATGGAAGGGAGGAGGTTCAAAATTTGAAATTTGAATCTCCCATTATCATAGTCAAGAAATTGCGCAGCCAGCCCAAGGAAGAAGCCATTACTGTGGCAGAAGCCAGCACCGTAACACGGAACAGCAAAAGCAGACAAAAGGCAAATGAAATGTAAGAGCATATACCAGCCATTGCAGGCGTTCTTGCCAAAGAGCGAGAGGCTTGAAAAAGTCTAGTTCCTCCTCTTCACAAAGTCAATCCAACAAAAATGTCTTTTCAAACAGGATGGCATGATGAAGAACTTGGCAGATGCTACGGCAAGCTCTCCCTCCTTGATTTGTTGCCGATAGAAGAAAAGCCAAAAGTTGGCATTCCTACCTATTGCCCACTTAGTGAGTCCAAAGGGACTTACTTAAAAAATTGCAACTTTTTAGCTTTAAGAATACCACGTTTCAAAGCTGAGATGGTATGTGGGTCTGGTGCAGCCCCGTTAGAAAACATGTCATTAAGAAGCATAACACACTTATTCATGTCCCTTCTATTACAAAAGCCAGAAATAAGAGCAGCGTATGTCACAGTATCTGGTTCAAGCCCATTGAAAATCATTTCATCCCAGAACATAATGGCTTCCCGAAGGTTATTTGCCTTCAAGTGTCCATCAATCAAGACAGTGTAAGTAACAACATCTGGTTTTATTTCCATGTCTTGCATGTCCCTCAAAATGGTGGAAACATCCAATACCTCTACCTTCCTGCTATTATTACAACGCAGGGAGGATTTTTTTCTCAAATTTGATTTCAAACGCCCATCAAGTAAAACTGTGTAGGTGATGACATTAGGTTCGATCCCCCTGATCTTCATATCCTGGAAGAGATTATGGGCTTCTTGTAAGCAATTTATCTTACAATAACTATTTATCATCAGGGTGTAAGTTTTAACATCAGGTGTAAATCCTCTCTGAACATAAATATCAAACAGAGAATGGGCCTTTTTCATATTCCCAGCCTGGCACAAGGCAGCTATGACTTTGCAATACATTATTTTGCTAGGTTCCACACCCAATGATGACAGTGTCCGCAGTAATCCTATAGCTCGATCAGTTTCGCCTTCATCACATAGTTTACTTAGTAGCTTAAAACAGGAGTCTTTTCCTACAACATTCTCTTGGTTTGACAGCATAAGATATTCATACGCTTTTTCGAGAAGGTTTGCTTCACAATATCCATTTATCATGGCAGAATAGATGTCGGCACTTTTATCTTCTAGATTGTTAAAAAAAACCTCAGCTTCTTTAACCTTGCCTCCTAAACACCAACCTTCAATGACCACCTTGTGTGTAACAGAATTTGGTGTCACCCCTTGAGTCTTCATATAATATAAAAGTTGCATTGTATCTTTAACATGGCCATTTCTAGACAATCCAGAAGCTAGTACATTATAAGTTACAAGATCAGGCTTAAAGCCCTTTTCTTTCATTTCTTTAAACATGTTAAAGGCAAGAATCAGTTCACCCTGTAGACAGTACCCTCTAATAAGGGTTGTGTAGTGTTTAATATCTAAAACCATATTCTTATGTTTCATATCTTCTAGAACCTCTCTTGCATCATCCACTTTCCCCAGTTCACACAAGGCATCTAACAAAACATTGTAGACCACTGCATCAAGAAATATTCCAGATTTTTTAAATTCTTCAAATTTATCCACCACATCCAAATTCCTGCCCGCCTTACACAAGCCATGGAGGAGGCAACTAACAATCACACAGTTTGTTTTTATTCCTTTTGAAATCATGTAATCATACAGGGCAAAAGCTTTATGTAGATTCCCACTTTTGCAGTATCCCCGAATCAATTCACTACAAATAAATACATCAGGAACCAACCCTTGCTCTTCCATGTCAAGGAGAAGACTTTCAGCTTCATCTAATTTCATTTCATTACAAAATCCACGGATAACAGCTGTGTAAGCAAACATATCTATTGGGCCATTGGCCTCTCTCCAAGCTTGAAGCACTCGACATCCCTCATCAGGTCCATGATGGTTGCACAGGCCCTCTACAAAAGTTGAAAACCAAAAGGAACTGATAGGCATCCCAGCTTTCTCCATTTCTTGCATCACTTTACCTACTTCTTCCAATTCACCTCTCTTACATAGCCCCTTGATCACTATCGTATATGTATAGTCATTTGGGCTCAAGCCTAACCTTTTGAGTTGCCTGTATATGGCAAGGGCCATATCCACCTTATCATGATTAACCAATCGATTTATGAGAAAGTTGCACGTAAAGATGTGTGGAATAATTCCACGTCTTCTAGTTTTAAAGAAAAAATCAATAGCTTCATCAAACATGTTAACACTCACATATGTTTTGACTAATGCATTAAAGGCTCTCAGCGAGTACTGATTCCCTTCAACCCCAAAACCATCCAACATTTCTTCAAACAAATCCTCAATTTCAAAAGCTGGACACTCTTTAGAAAGAGCAATAAGATCCACAAACAATGAATCTAATTTCCTATTCAAGCCCCAATAACATAAAATTCTAATTAGTGCCGCATATGTTGAGATATTATGTTGGAAACCTTGTTCCTCCACTTGACGAAAGAAGGACAATGCAAGCGCGGGCTCTCTTAACAAACAGTTCAATGTTTCAACCACCTTGAACGTATCTATCTCAAATGAATTATGCACTGAAGGAGAATACCCGGAGCAATCGCACGAGGATGATACAGTTTCGTCACAAGAACTGAATTGGGTGTCGTCTGAGAAAGTAGTTGAATTCAAGTAGGCAAGTGCCGTTGACGTTAACTTGCAGCTACTGGAGAATGTTCCAGGAAATTTTAATCTGAGAAAGAAATCACATATAAAAGAAGAGCCATATAGATACTAATGAAAAAGAACCTGAACTAAAAACTGCCGCCAATGAAACAATGTCACAAAATCAACGAATCAAACTTTCATCGTCCCACTTTTTCGTTCTAGGACCAGGCACTTCTACAAAGTCTTGCATAAAAAAGAAGGGACGGGACAGGACTAGAAAGAACATAGAAACCAGAACCAGAGACCAAATCATTGGCAAAAGGCGGCAATGTTAAGATCAAGCCTTAAAGCCATCACACCAAAAGTTAGGAGCACAAACACAAGTGTAAACGGGGAAACAGAGAACAGAGCATTTAGAGCAAAATTGATGAAAAACATAGAAAAACTAGTGACATAGAGAGAGACACAGAGCAACTACGGCGACTGAAAGTAGGAAGTGCTCGGATGAAAGGAAAGTACCTGCGTATAGAGAAGGAGAAAGACGATAATGAGCTGGGCAGATACGGCATGGACGGCGAGAAAAAGCGAGTAACACAGACTGCAGCCAGGGCGAGTTTGGGAGAAGCGAAGGATTTTAGGACGGCGGGTTATGTTTCGAACTGTGCATTAGTTTTACCGAAGCAGCGTTGTTGATACAGAAAGACGAAATGGAAGACCATTTGGTCGAAGTTTCCCTTGGCCACCTTTAGGACCTGTGGTTTGAGGGAGGGAAGGGAGAAGAGGGGAGGTTTCATCTAGTTCTTATAAGAAACTGATGAATAATTAATTTTTAAGGATAAAAAAATATATTTAAAATTAGTTGAATTATTAATTATGGTGTATCTAGTACCATAAATTATTTTTTAAGGTGCATCCGGCACTCTAAATATTTTTTAGTGTAATATTGCTCTTAAAGTATTACCTATAATCCTTAATATAAGAGTTAGTTAATTAATTTAAATAAATTAAGGAAACTAGTTAGGTCAATTATTTCTAATAAATAGGTATTGTCTTTTATTAAAAAATCTTTACTAATCAAGTGTATTGACTAAAAATACTATTATTACAATAATTACCTCAAAATAAATAAATAAATATGAGAGATGGAGTGGATAAGGGTGTTATAGTTAAATCTAAAATAAAAGCCAAATAAGCTCTTATATTAAAGACTAAAAATATTATTAATTTCTTTAGAAGCAGTTGTGTTTTTAAAGTATTAATTCATGAGTAGTTTTAATTTTATCATTAACTCAAGGTTCGATAAATCAATGCATATCAAATAATATAAAGTATTTTTTTAGCATATTTTAGGGTGCTTGATGCATTTGAAAAAATATTTTAGAGTGTTGACGCACCACAAAATACTTCTAGGCAAGGGATGCACCTAAAATATTTTTTCAAGATGTTGGGTGCACTGAATATTTTAAAATGCTGAATGTATTTAGCAAAATATTTTAGGATGCTGGATGCACCTTAGTCCTAATAACTATACTAAAAATTCAAATTTCTCTTTTAAAAATATTTTCCATAAATAAAATTTTGATAAATGTTTTAAACAATAGGTTGTCTTTTTTCCCCTTAAATATGAGAAATCATCCGAGTAGGACTTCGCGACTGATTAACTAGTTGGTGAGGCAATAACTTAATAACCCTAAACGACTAGGTGATCAATTCATGCCAATGAATATCGAAGGATCATGCAAACGAGTGGATATGATGATTTAAATTGACCATATTTGACTTGAGATGTTATGTTTAATATAGTTTCATATCTAAATTAATTTGTATTTATACAATTATTTGTGTTTATTATTACTGCACTCGTCTTAATAACCATTTAATTAAAAGTAGGATTGTTCACGAGATGGAATAGGATAGGAACAGGACAAGTATGCCCGGTCCCATCCTAATGAACATGGACTCCCTTCTTTTTTTGTGTTATAATATTTGTTTTTCATAGGGCTTCTAAAAATAAAAATATTATAAAAAAATTATGTAAAAAGCTCAATTAAATAATATAAAAAAGGTACAAAAATAATACAGTAAAAAAATATCATAAAAAAAACAATGTATAATGACTTTATAAATTATTTTATTGAGGAAAAAGGTTCTGTTGAGATAATACTACAACTTAAGAGATGAAAATTACTATAAAAAATAAGTATTATCAATAAGTAAATTGGATAATCTAATAATAATTATTAGTAAATAATTTTCTCAAGAAAAATCCAAACACAGGATGATCCCACCTCACGTTCCATCCTGAAACTTTTTTGGTCCCATCCTATCCCATCTCGAATTGATTGAGGCCAGGTCGAGACGACCGAGACATGATAAGTTGAACACTTCTAATTAAGGTAGAGTTAAACTTTTTAGGAAGCACAAAGAGTTTTTTTTTTTTTTGTTTAGTTAGTTTGCCTCACACTCCTCTCATAACTAAAAAAAACAGTAATTTGCCAAGTAATGAATGAGCTATATATGTGCTTGTGGAATTGGAAAGAATTGAAACATTGTATTTTTTAGCAGTGTAGGAAATTTTTGAACTAATTCTGTGAAATTGAAACTCAAATAAGGATATAAACTTTATTTGTCCTAAGGTCATAAAATCATAATATATCTATATATAATGATTTAACAGAAGCTCTTATTTATTTCTAAAGAAAATATTATAAGAGTCAACCTCTGATTAAATTGGTAAAAGAAATTAAAGAGCTTACTAAGCTAGAAAGAAGGGAAAGAGGTTGAAACTCAGCTCAAATTTTGATGAACTAAACATTGTTTTAGCCTTTTCTTGCAAATTATTTTTTTTGAACTTTTATATGATTTTTTTCCTTTTTCTCTCATACACTCAACTCTAACTAAAGTATGGAATCACTCACACCTTTTGGTTTACTAATCTAAAATTAGTATGTCCACTATTCTTTTTTAAAAAATCAATTTGATAAACCCAAGTATATGTGAGACTTCACAATCTATACAACTCAAAATCAGGTTTTCTTATCTTACAATATGTTAGAGATGTGATCAAGGAACAAAAAACTGGACCGGCAATTAAATCGGTCAAGATACTGAGTTAAGAGTTAATGGGTTAGATCCGGGTCAACCCCATAATCAAATCGGTAATAATTAAAATGCTATGTTTTAAATTATATATTAACTGCTTTAAATAGAAATTAAAATAAAGATATGAAGAAAAATATATAAAATAAAAGATATATTTAAGAAATTATATATATAGTAAATAATATGATAGAAGTATTCATTAGTCCATCTATTCCTGTAGGATAATTTTGCGTGGGAAACTTGAACCTCATGGAAATCTAATTTTTTATTCAACCCTTTCAATTTTAAGTTTTCACATTCTCAAGATCTGCTTCTCCGGTTGAACCACTTCACATTTTTTATCATTTCCTTTCATCATTCATTCTTTTCATATCTTGTGTGGGATGGATCAGGCATTCACGTGCTCTGGTAGCTTTCTCTCTTATTCTCCTTCTTCTCTCTATTTCAGTATTTCTTTCTTCTTTGTTCAAACGTTCCCCTCTTCTTTCTTTCGTTTTCATGCCTTTATCCTCCCTTACCTCTGTTCAGATGTACTTGCAGAGCCAGAAGGGTGAGAATAAATTTTATTTTTATTTACAGAACGAACATGTAGAACTAGAGGAACTGAAGAAAACAATTACTTTTCTTTTATTTATGTTTTTCTTCTTCTGCCGCCAATATTTTTTGTTTATGTGCGGGAAACAGTCTTAGGTTTTTCTTCTTCTTCTTCCTTCAAACAACCCGGCTAAACCATCAAAACCAGCGGGTTGGCTGGTTGTGGTCGGTTGTAACCGGTTTGCACCGGTTCTTTCCAGTTTGATTTTCTTCTGATTTTGTTGTTAAACCAGACCAGACAACTGACCGGTGCACCAGTTTCTAGTCTAAACCGGCCGGTCCAGTCCAGTTTTTTGTTCATTGGATGTGATTATTCAATGAAACTTTCATACACAACCATGTCAAAGGAAAGTCTATGTACGCACATATATGTGTGTGTGTGTCTACATATATATATATATATATATTAGATATTTAAGAGTTAAGATATCAATTTGTCTTTGAAGTTTTCATTTTGAAAAAGTATGAGGAAGTTTTTTTGGGAGTAAATTTATTTTAGAAATTTGAAATCGTAGCAATATTTCTCTTTATCGTTAAAAAAACTAACATTGACTGTTAATATTTTTAACGGCAAGGGGTAGTATTGCTATGATTTCAAACTTTCAAAGTAAATTTGCATCCTAAAAAAACTTTCAGATATCCAATGCTTCTAAGTGAAAATTTCTAGGACAAATTTGTATCTTAACTTAATAATTAATACTGTCTATTGTCTTGACATGGAACGAAGCTTGAAGGAAGCATAAATGCCTACTACCACCACCAGAACTGTGGCGCCTACACATAAAAGCTTCTGTTTATCTCCTTCGCCGAACCTATTGGCCAATCTTGTTACAGTTTGAGAAGCAGAACCGGCCATATCTTTGATATCTTTACCTCTTGAAGATTCACTCACTATATCTCCATGGTTCTTTTCTTTCAATATATCAGTTTGAATATCCATTTGGTTTTCTTCTTTCTCTGGGGTTTTCTTCAAGCTTGAACTTTCATCTATAATAAGCATGGCAGATTCTTTTCTTTCTTCCTTACTTTTTTCTCTTGCCAAACTCAGATCTTTTTGAAATCCGTCCTTTTCCCTCTTCTTTGAGGTTTTCTTCAAGCCTAAACTAACAGCTTCTTTTCTTTCTTCCTTACTTTTCTCTCTTGCCAAACTCAGATCTTTTGAAATCCGTCCTTTTCCCTCCTCTCTGAGGTTTTCTTCAAGCCTAAACTTTCATCTGTAATAACTATAACAGCTTCTTTTCTTTCTTCCTTATTTTTCTCTCTTGCCAAACTCAGATCTTTCTGAAATCCGTCCTTTTCCCTCCTCTCTGAGGTTTTCTTCAAGCCTAAACTTTCATCTGTAATAACTATAATAGCTTCCTTTCTTTCTTCCTTATTTTTCTCTCTTGCCAAACTCAGATCTTTTTGAAATTTGTCCTTTTCCCTCTTCTCTGAGGTTTTCTTCAAGCCTAAACTTTCATCTGTAATAACTATGACAGATTCTTTTCTTTCTTCCTTACTTTTCTCTCTTACCAAACTCAGATCTTTCTGAAATCCATCCTTTTCCCTCTTCTCTAAGGTTTTCTTCAAGCTAGAACTTTCATCTGTAATAACCAAGTCACATTCTTCTCTTTTGAATTCCTTACTTTTCTCTCTTTCCAAACACTGATCTTTCTGAGGTGATGCCTTTCCTTCCTTAATCTTCTCATCGTCTAATGTAACTTCTTGAGGAATTCCCTTTCCCTCTTGATCCTTTTGGAGCATTCTAGATTCTCCTTTGTCTATCTCTATGATTAATGAAGAATCTTCTCTTGTACCCTCTTTCATCTCATCCCCATGAGGCTTTTGATCATCCTCTTGAGGCATTTTACGAGATTCTTCATGAGTGACTTCTTCTGGTGGGGTTGGTGGTGTTTCATCTTTTTTCTCATCGGATTCTCTTTCACTCTCCATCTCTGATTTGGGTTTTTCCTCAGAAACACCTTCTATTGTACCTTCTTCAGGAATTTCCTTTCCCTCTTGATCCTCCTGGAGGATTCTAGATTCTTCTTTGTCTTTCTCTGTGATTGATGAAGAATCTTCTCTTGTACTCTCTTTCATCTCATCCCCATGAGGCTTTTGATAATCCTCTTGAGGCATTTTACGAGATTCTTCATGAGTGACTTCTTCTAGTGGGGTTGGTGGTGTTTCATCTTTTTTCTCATCGAATTCTCTTTCACTCTCCATCTCTGATTTGGGTTTTTCCTCAGAAACACCTTCTGTTGTACCTTTTTGAGGAATTCCCTTTCCCTCTTGATCCTCCTGGAGCATTCTAGATTCTTTGTCTTTCTCTGTGATTGATGAAGAATCTTCTCTTGTACTCTCTTTCATCTCATCCCCATGAGGCTTTTGATCATCCTCTTGAGGCATTTTACGAGATTCTTCATGAGTGACTTCTTCTGGTGGGGTTGGTGGTGTTTCATCTTTTTTCTCATCGGATTCTCTTTCACTCTCCATCTCTGATTTGGGTTTTTCCTCAGAAACACCTTCTGTTGTACCTTTTTGAGGAATTCCCTTTCCCTCTTGATCCTCCTGGAGGATTCTAGATTCTTCTTTGTCTTTCTCTGTGATTGATGAAGAATCTTCTCTTGTACTCTCTTTCATCTCATCCCCATGAGGCTTTTGATCATCCTCTTGAGGCATTTTACGAGATTCTTCATGAGTGACTTCTTCTAGTGGGGTTGGTGGTGTTTCATCTTTTTTCTCATCGAATTCTCTTTCACTCCCCATCTCTGATTTGGGTTTTTCCTCAGAAACACCTTCTGTTGTACCTTCTTGAGGAATTCCCTTTCCCTCTTGATCCTCCTGGAGGATTTTAGATTCTTCTTTGTCTTTCTCTGTGATTGATGAAGAATCTTCTCTTGTACTCTCTTTCATCTCATCCCCATGAGGCTTTTGATCATCCTCTTGAGGCATTTTACGAGATTCTTCATGAGTGACTTCTTCTGGTGGGGTTGGTGGTGTTTCATCTTTTTTCTCATCGGATTCTCTTTCACTCTCCATCTCTGATTTGGGTTTTTCCTCAGAAACACCTTCTGTTGTACCTTTTTGAGGAATTCCCTTTCCCTCTTGATCCTCCTGGAGGATTCTAGATTCTTCTTTGTCTTTCTCTGTGATTGATGAAGAATCTTCTCTTGTACTCTCTTTCATCTCATCCCCATGAGGCTTTTGATCATCCTCTTGAGGCATTTTACGAGATTCTTCATGAGTGACTTCTTCTAGTGGGGTTGGTGGTGTTTCATCTTTTTTCTCATCGAATTCTCTTTCACTCCCCATCTCTGATTTGGGTTTTTCCTCAGAAACACCTTCTGTTGTACCTTCTTGAGGAATTCCCTTTCCCTCTTGATCCTCCTGGAGGATTTTAGATTCTTCTTTGTCTTTCTCTGTGATTGATGAAGAATCTTCTCTTGTACTCTCTTTCATCTCATCCCCATGAGGCTTTTGATCATCCTCTTGAGGCATTTTACGAGATTCTTCATGAGTGACTTCTTCTGGTGGGGTTGGTGGTGTTTCATCTTTTTTCTCATCGGATTCTCTTTCACTCTCCATCTCTGATTTGGGTTTTTCCTCAGAAACACCTTCTGTTGTACCTTTTTGAGGAATTCCCTTTCCCTCTTGATCCTCCTGGAGGATTCTAGATTCTTCTTTGTCTTTCTCTGTGATTGATGAAGAATCTTCTCTTGTACTCTCTTTCATCTCATCCCCATGAGGCTTTTGATCATCCTCTTGAGGCATTTTACGAGATTCTTCATGAGTGACTTCTTCTAGTGGGGTTGGTGGTGTTTCATCTTTTTTCTCATCGAATTCTCTTTCACTCCCCATCTCTGATTTGGGTTTTTCCTCAGAAACACCTTTCTCTCTCTTGCTTGCTTCTGATTCAACTTCAGGAGTAGTAGATTCCTGTTTGGTTGTTTCTTGTTCTTGAGCTGGTTTTGGAATAGGCTTCTTTGGCATTCTAATGGTAATTTTTGCTTTTTCCCCTTCTTCAAACTGTCCCTTGAGCTCACCAGCATCACAATTTTTTGGAATTGTAAACTCTACACTGAAACGTAGCCGCTTATTATCTGCAATTGCTCGTTCACCAAAAACTCTGATTCTCCCGTAGAATGCTTCATAGTTTGCACCAACTTCTTGTTTTTTAAAACCTGATGAAAAAAATAAATATATTTTTGTGTAAAAAAAAATTGCTAATGAAAAAGTTGCCTCAGTTAAATAAAATTATGTCCTTTTTGTTTTATAGTTCATGGATCATGTCCCCTTCTTTTATTTAAAAAAAAATACTGTTATAAAAATATGGGAACTGAGAAGCTTTTTCTTTGTCAAAAAGACTCTTGCTACACATTTGTTTTTATTGATTTCGTAAGCTATTTCATAACTTAAGCATATTTACACTTCAAAGATTACTTTTTTAATTTTTTTTTAAATTATTTCTCTAAAAAATTTGAATTGTGAGTTTTGTACCGGCAAATCACAGTGCTATAATTTAGAATAATATAACTGTTTTTATAACTTTTATATATGTGTGTATCAATACTATAAGCTCAATCAAGTTATTGGCCCAAAAAAAAAGGAGCTCAATCAAGTTATAATCCCGTCTAAGTGCTTAAACATATTTCGATTTAACTTATTTCTCCATATTTTTTAAAGCCAATTCTTTCAACTTCTCAAAGTAACGTGAATGGTGGGTTTCGCATCATGCACGAAGCTTAAGTATTACATCATACTACCTCCGATTTTTAATATACTACCTCTGATACTTAATATAAAATTCTGTTTGATTTTTATTTTGGTTCTAAATATAATACCTCAATCCACTTTGGCTCTCATATTTATATAATTTTTTTCAAAGTAGTCATTCTAATAATGATAGTTCTAGTCAATACACTTGATTAACAAGGATATTCTAGAAAGAATAATACATATTTAGGACAAATAACTAACTCAACTTACTCTCTTAATCTTCTCAAATTAGTCAACTGGCTCTTATAATTAGGACCGGAGGTAGTAAGACCTAGTTGACTAATTTGGTGAGATTAAAAAAATTAGTTAAGTTAGTTATTTGTAATAAATATACATTGTTTTTTTCTAGAACACCCTTGCTGATTATTTGTATTGGCTGGCACTTCCTTTTGATAGAGCCTTTAATATGTGCAAACTATAATGACTACTTTGAAAATAAATATGAATGACAAAGTGGACTTGGGGCTTATATTTAGAACTAAATTAAAAGTCAAACAAGTTTTTATATTAAGGATTGGATGTAATAGATTATATATATAGATATAAATGGGATAATTATGAAGTAATAATTTTTATTGGGAATAAGTTTAATTTGATTTTTTTAAATCTCTTTTTTATGTAGTATTTTGTATAATTAACAAATGGATAATTAATATATAAGTCCTTATAGTTTCAACTGGTTTTTAATCAGGTCCTTATAATTTTTTTCCTTTTTATCATATCCTTATACTTTCATATATATTTAATCAAGTCCTTATAATTTTTTTCTTTTTATCAAGTCCTTATTGTTTTACTTTATTTTTAATTAGGTCCTTGTAGTTTTTATTCTTTATTTTACAAATAATAACATTTTAAAAATAATAAATTATTGTAAAAATCTTATGTTAATATTCTTTTAAATTTTTAGTTAAACAAATATATTATTTATTTTCAATTCAAATTTTTATAATTATAAAATTCAAATTATAATAATAAATTTATCTAAAATTAAAATATGATTATAAATAATTTATATTTAAGTATAATTATTATTCTGATTATTTATTAATTACTAAATGATTATATTAATTATTTTGTCCAATTATATAATTATTAATTTAAAAATGAAATTAATTTTAAAGAATAAAGTTAATAAATAATTTTTTAAAAACTACAAAGCACCAAATTAAAAAATAAGTGAAACTATAAGGACTTGATAAAAAGAAAAAAAAATAGAAGGACCTAATTAAAAACACACGAAAATAAAAGGATATGATAAAAAGAAAAAATTTTATAAGGACCTAATTAAAAATCAAATGAAACTATAAGGATCTGGAGATTAATTATCCCATTAACAAATTATGAGCATAGTGACTAATGTCTATAAATGAGAAAGATATAAAGATTCAATAAAATGGGAAAAGCTATAAGGACATGATTGAAAATCAGATCATATATAAGGATCGACGAATTAATTTTTCTTAAATTCTAAGTTAGATAATGATACAAACCAGGAGTATGAACAAGACGAAGATGAGCATCTGCAGTTTCCATGTCTTCCATATGTGGGGTGAAAACTTCATATGATATTGGTTGTTGGGCATTGGAATTTTGGGTGGAAGACATGTTTTCTAGTATTTCTCTTTGTTTCAGAAAACTATGGCACGCAGCAACTTTTATTGAATTGCATTCAAGGGTCTCAACTTTCAATATTTATACACAGAGGATGATGCCTTCTGCTTTTGGGTTTGTTTTCCTATTAATGAGATTATTCCTTTTTGGTTTGTTCAGAAATGAATTGTGACTATTGAAGTTAGTTGATGAAAGAGTTTTTGATGTTTTCCTCATTGATATGAGAAGGATAGCTTGTTTTAGAGATAAAGCCAAAGTTCTTTGTTTGGGTCATACACCTGAACTTCCAGTTACCTTCTCATGAAAAAAACCACAGGGAGAATTAATTTTAACAATTTTTTACCATAAAATGGATTTTAGAAGAAAATTTGGTGGGGGGGGGGGGAATTAATCTTGTTTGTTCTTTGTTTTGCTTTATTTTACTATTCAGAGCATTTAAATTTGACTTGAATGCTTGTTCTGTACTTCTGTTATTAGATAATGAAATTAATAATTATTACTCCTCCGGTCCTTAATATAGGACTCAAATATTGAGTTAGTTTTGATCCTAAATATAAGACCTATTTTCATATTTATTAATTTTCTCTAAATTACTCCTATGGATACTCCCTCAACCATAATCAAGTAGAAGAGGGAAATGGGGTATTAAGAAAAATGATTAAGTGTTTATGAAAAACGTGTCACATTTCTCGTAATTAACTAAATTACCTAACTTTTTTAATCTAATCAGATTAGTTAAATGAGTCTTATATTAAAGAGCAGAGGAGTATTTATTAATAACTCTAATATTTAACATAAGAAGGATTATAATATAAAATGCTCACATTACACGAGGAATCATATCCTCTCAAAATCTTTTCTTTCCTTTTCTTCTTAAAATCTCATCTCAATCCTTAGAATTAAGAAATGGATGGTTCACATTTAATATTCTATAAAATTGCTTTTATAATATCTTATAAATTTTTTTTATATACTAAAATTGTGAATTATCCATGTTAAATGTTAACTGTTTAATTTTATTTTTCATGTAATATTATAAAAATATTAAGCCTGAATTTTCTATTTTTTAATCTAAGGATAGAAATGAGATTCCCAAGAGGACGAAAAAAAAAAACAGTGAGATTGTGAGAGGATCCAGATCTATTATTATCGCATGAACGTATGAAACATGATGTTAATTTATAGTTGGCTGCTGAAAAATGAACCAAAAGGAGGAACAAAAAAATAGTTGATTCATATTTGTGTATTGCATGGGGCTAGAAAAGGAATAAAGAATCTCTTCAGATCCAGGTCACTAAAATTTGGCCTTTTGGTTATGGGATCTAGACGTGAGCATCACAATGTGAAATGAAATGCAATGGGAATAATAGCAATTAATTCAGGATTCTTGTTTTAATTACATACTTAAAATCTAAATTCATTTCAAAGTAGTCATATTTAATGGTGATTGTTTAAGTCTTATTTTGCTACACGAATATGAGATGGATTATATAAATTATATCATCCTTGTACTTAATACAAGAACTAGTTAAAGATTGGATTTGATTCTAAATATATAGAATTTCAATCTATTTTTTCTTTCAAATATTTATTTTCTCAAAAATATCTTTGGTGATGGTTAGAGGCTCTGACTAACAAATAATTTTAATGTATATAATTAAAGAAAGTAACTTAAAGAAATCAATATACATTTGTTATAATTAATCAACTTAACCAATTTAATTAATTTTTTAAATTAGTTATCTAGTTTTATATTAAAGATTAGAAGGAATACAGTACTCCCTCTGGTTCGAAATATAAAATAAACTTTATATATTTACACTTATAAAAAATAGAGTTAGAATCAGTTTAAAACAATAGATATATAAGCCGTGTATTTTTCTTTTTCAAAATGTCCTTATTAATGAAGAGAATAAGTTAAAAATACAATAAAAGAATCAAAAAGGAAAGAAAATATATGAGGGTAAAATTAGAAAAAAAAACTTATTAAATACTTAGACAAAAATAAATATTATCTTATAAAGAAAATCAAGCCCCTTCAATAAAGTTCAGTTTATATTTTGAACCAGAAGAACCATTGTATCTTGTCAACAGCCAAAGTTTTGGTTAAGCTTTTTTTTTTTTTTTGCCAACTTCGGTTTAAGTTATTAATTTTCAATCAAAAGGTCACACTTAGTAACTTTATTAGTTGTTTTCTTTACCATCTGTTTGGTAGAAAGGAAATAGAAAGAGGAGGGAGGGAAATTTTTCATGAGCTCGATTTAAAAAATTAAAGAATAAGAGTTATAAAATTTTAGTAAACAGAAGACATAAAATAAAAAATAATTAAAAGTTTTTAATCCTATTTATCCAGTTTTTATATCAAGCTAATCAAACTTATTCCTCTCATCCTTTTGACCCTTCTGTTTTTCTCATATCAGAGAGACCCTTAGTCTTCATTTAATCTTTTACAAATGGCTCTGTATTGTCTAATTACCAACAATTTTCTTTGTACATAATTACCTGAAATAATTTTATTGCATTTTTTTCAACGGTTGTCACACCTTTTTTTTTTTGCCATCATAAAAAATTTATCATTAATCATCACAAAATACATTCAAGTCCATCAAGAAGAAAACGAAGACACAAGGTTATCTAAAATTATGTCTCCGTCTATATCTAGTAAGAATTGTAAACTCCATATCCAACCAGCCGACTTCTTCATTAAAGCTTTAGCAGCCTAATTTGCTAGTTTTCTGTTGATCCTATATATCAAACTTATTTTATATATTTATTAATTTTTTTAAATTAAACTATTAATATTTTGTCAATAATAATCAAGTAAGAAAAACAGAGAGAAAATTAAGAAAAATTCTTAGGATATTTTAAAAAAATATCATATCAACTAATTTAACTAAAATTATTAATCTATTCAAATTATTTAATTAGGTCTTAGACAAAAAAAGTATTAAATTTGCTTCCCTGAAAATGGTTTCCTATAAAATTCCTTAATGAAAAGATGCTTTCACTGAAATATTATATTTCTATTCGGACGAAGGGATATTGTTGCTCACACAATTAATAAGGATTTTATTTTCTCACTCAAATATAACATCCCTCAACTAATTGTCTTCTTCGTCTTTACCATTTCTATTGCCTAAATATATATATATATACTACCTCCGGTCCTAATTATAAGACCCAATTGACTAATTTGAGTAGATTAAGGAAGTAAGTTGAGTTAATTATTTGTCCTAAATAGGTGTTGTCTTTCCTAAAATATCCTTGCTAATTAGAAGGATTACTTTGGAAAAAATGTGTAAATATGAGAGATAAAATGGATTGGAGTCTTATATTTAGGACCAAAATAAAAGTCAAACATAGTCTTATATTAAGGACCGGAAGTAGTATATTACTTGTTTTGAAGAAGCATTAGTTTTTTTTCCCTCCCAACGCATTAAATTTAAGGAGAATTTCACATAGAATATTTGAAATTATTAAATTTGGTATCAACATTAGACTTATAACAACGCATTTTTTATAAAAAAAAATTTTATTTTCAATTTAGTAATTTCAATTTTTTTGTGTGTAAATTCTCTCTTAAATATAATATATTTAGCAAAAATATGTAAAGAAGGAAGCGAGGAAGAGACGTGGGGTAGAGTGAGAGGAATTTAATGGACTAACGTGGCGCATTACAACGTTCGGTTCAAAGGAACCAACCAAACCCACATTCTCTTCGGCGGCAGCCTTCCTTTTCATATCTCTGAATTTTTTAGATAAGCTTTTCCGATAATAATCGGGGGAAAGCGTCAAATATGCTGGCCCGTGGCACTTCTGGGGCTGTTGTGGGTTGGCATAGAATGCTGAGAAAATCACTGTTGCATTCTTTGCCTCTTCCATCTTCTTGTGCACTTCTTGGCCCCAACCTTCCTGATGTTTGGGTTCCCAGACAGAACACTTCTGATGCCCATTTCTCAGAAAGACAAAACCTTGAGTTTGAAGGTACCAATTTACTGCTCTACTGTTGTATAATCCTTTGTTCAGGTCACTTAAGTGAGTCATGCAAAAGGGTGAGCATAATGCTGCGATTCTAGTGTTCTCTAGAGCTCTGCTTTGGTCATCTTTGTTAATAGGTTTTGTTTCATATTTTTTACCCTGTTATTTGTTATTTGTGATGCGAAAGGGGTGAAGTCTAATGCTGTCATTCTCGGAGGGAAATCGATTGCCCAAGACGTGAAACAAAAAGTAGCTGAAGAAATAGGGAGAATTAAAAGGACAATTGGGAAGTCTCCTAAGTTGGCTGTGGTTCTTGTTGGTGATAGAAGAGATTCTCAGACCTTCATCCACATTAAGTTAAAAGCCTGTGAGCAGGCTGGCATTGAAACATCGGTAGCCCTCTTGCCTCAAAACTGTGAAAAAAAAGAACTACTTGATGTTGTTACCAATTTTAACAAAGACCCAGCTGTGCATGGCATCATTGTGCAACTTCCTCTGCCCCAAGTAATTTCTATTCCATTTTTACTTTTTACAAATTACTTGCGCTTGTTAACCTAAAGCTCTGATTCAGCGCAATAGAGGCTCCGTTTGATCTAAAATTAGATATAGTACTGTGAGTAAGTTGCTTTGACCTCCCATACATTAATTTTGGTGAAGTTACGGGAATTTTGTGCATGAAAATTCTGATTCATAAAAATTGATGGAATTATATGGTCCAATATGGAACTATTAATGACTTTGTTATTTGAAATTAATATGCAGCATTTGGATGAGGAAAATGTCATCAACTTTGTGAGTCCAGAAAAGGATGTGGATGGCTTTCATCCCTTAAATATAGGAAACCTTGCCGTGAAGGGACGAAAACCATTCTTCATTCCTTGTGCTTCTAAGAGCTGCATTGAGTTGTTGCTTAGGCATGGAGTGGAAATTGGTGGAAAGAGAGCAGTTGTAATTGGAAGAAGTAAAATTGCGGGGTTACCCACTTCGTTGCTGTTGCAGGTAAGTACTTATATGTTGTTTCTGAGCAGAATGTTTATGTTGGCAGGTTGCTAATTTGTTGTCTTTCAAGTAGAGGCATCATGCAACAGTAAGCATGGTACATGCATTCACAGAGAACCCAGAGTGGGTAACATCTGAAGCTGACATTGTGGTAGCAGACGTTGGGATGCCCAATATGATTCGTGGCAATTGGTTAAAACAAGGAGCGGTCGTGGTTGACATGGGAACAAATCAAGTTAAGGTACAAACTCTCTGTCATTTGAGTTAGGCTAAATGAGCAAAGACATTATCACTTTCAGTTTAGTAACTGTCAGAATGCGAGGCTCTTTCCAATCAATTGTCTAATTTGTATTAAAAGAAGAAATTTGATTCAAATGGAAGTAATCATAGCCTAGTAAAAGCCTAGGTTTTTTAATTTCTGTCTTCCACTTTAGCTTTGACTTTCTTCAGAGATTTATTTTGATAAAAATGTTTGCATATGTTTTAATTTCACAAAAAGTAGGATGTACCTGGATGGTTTTCTTATAATTTGACTGGTTAAAGTTAGTTTTAACAAATTTTGATTTTCTTTTACCTCTATTATTATTATTATTACTACTATGATTATTTCAGATAGTGTTAATTACGATGAGGATGAATCTAATATCTATGTGTAATTTAAATACTTGATTAACACCTTTTTTTTAACTACAGTATTACTTTGTTACAGATGTGGGATAGTTAATAAAATTTCAGAGGTTCTTTTCTCCTTTCTTTCACCAAGTAAGAGGCAAATGCATGTTGTTGGGTTGAGTAAGAGCGAAAAGGCTTCTCAAGTAAGGTTTCAAATGTGAGTATTATGGTTAGGGGAAAAAAATACTTTGAGAGCTATCCTCTGTTTGGGACCCAACATTGCTCAAATTTAGATTCATTGGCGATGTTGAAAACCCAGTGGTTGTCACCCAGAAAAGATGCATGCTATTAAGCGATAAGATGAATTTTCTTGTCCTTCTATTCATTTGATGTGCTTAATACAACTTGCAGCACCCCGACAAAGAAGGCTTCCGTGTCATAGGAGATGTTTGCTATGAAGAGGCAATCAAGGTGGCATCAGCCCTTACTCCTGTGCCCGGAGGTTTGGGACCAATAACAATATCAATGCTTCTTTCCAATACCCTTGATGCAGCAAAACATGCATATGGGTTGGTTTGAATCAGTTGGTTGTTCCAGGATATAAGCTCTATGTTGTATCTGGCTCTGTGCATGGATATTCCTAACCATGTAAGCAAGCCAATTCAATGTGAAGTTTCTCTTGAAAAGCCATTGCGTCTTGGATGGATCAGTATGGGAATCTGCATATAGCAGGTGCAGTAAATTCGAGATTCAAGTGAGTATGGAATCATAAGATTATAAACATTTTAAGAAATTTGGGTGCATTGCACAGGTTTTGCACATCAATGAGCCATACTCTTATGTAGCATTTGAAAGCTAACCAAACTGTTTTATGTGTTGTACGTGCCAACATCAAAGTTCTTCGACTCTGCAGCTATTCTTGGCTTCGTTTATTTTTGAAAGTTTGAACCTTCCTTGCACAAGTAAAAAAAACAAATGGGACTTCTGATTTTGTTTTGGAACTGTGTTTGAGCTGATATAGGAGGAATCATAGTACTATTTGTTGTTTCTAGTTTGTATTGCTGTACAAAAACATTACTCGGAGGGCATTACTTTTGTGGACAGCAAATTTGCTTTGCATGTATATATATCTACTGGAAAAAGGAGACACACTCATAGACGTCATATGTCAATCTATATATCTTTGAACTGTTACCAAGTGTTGTCTCCTATAATGGTTTGGAAGCTGTACCAATTTGTGCGTGTATATGCCTAAGATGTTGGCATATTTTTCTTCTCTTCGAGCTAGCTGATTATTTATTGTAATCAATATTCTGATTGTCAAATTTGTATATATTTTCAGTCAAGTAATTAAATAAATAAATTTGCATAATGATCAATCACATGTCCCTTTTATGCATTCTCGCCTTGTAGCTAATAGCATTAATTGTAGCTTCAAATCCAAATGGAAATGGTTGTATTGTTCACCATATTTGGAACGGTAAGAGAACCTTTTTCCTTTTTGTGCTGATCGACTATCAACCCAAAATTGATGGTTTGATCTCGGGGTCACTCAGGTTCCTGATTTGTACAGAAATAGAAGATGGATGCTGCATGGTGCTTTTAAGGGTAATCCAATTACAGCGAGATAGCAGACCATTTTGCAACGTCTGTGCTTCGGAACTCATTATTTGATGTTTTCTAAAGATGTCTTAATAGACAACCTAGTTTACTGAGTAAGTTATCAACAAATGCTTGTACCGAAATTATCAACATTGGAGATTATAGTTTGAACTATTATCTGAGGAAGGGATTTTTTGTCTAGAATATACCGACCTGTAATTGTGATTTTCATCAACAGGGTGCTTTATTTTATTTGTATGGGATTTTTAGAAGCCCCTTTTGTGGATGGAAGCATTATTCCTTAGCAGGAATTTAACTCTGGACTTGTTTGTGGAATGTTGTATTTCAGGCGAAGGACTCAGAACATAAATGACAATTGTTGTTCTGTAGACGGTGCTAAGAGTTGGCTTTTGGCTTAACACAGTATTATGAAATGAGCACTTGAGTAGAGAATTAGATATAGGCTTCCTAAGAGGAGAACTTATAAAGTGCATAAGCCCCCACTGCTGCAAGTACTAACACTGAGGCACCCATGTTCCAAAGTAAGGGCTTGTCTTCTTTATCCCATTTCCCCTGTGCAATTCTTGCGAAAGCCTGGGAAGCAGAAGTGGCAACTTCTTTGATTCCCTTCCCTATTGTATCAACTTCAGCTTTGCTGGTCACTTCCTTTTCCTTCTCAGGAATTTTTGGAACAGAATGTTCACCTGTTTTGACCAACTCTCTTCTTTCTGTGTTTTCTTTCTGGATAACCATGCTCTTCTCCTTCACACCATTCCCAGTCTTTCTTAACTCAGAAGGCTTCCCTTCTTTTATAATTTCTTTTTCTGAAATCCTTTCTTTCTCCGCATCTTCACCTCTCCTTTCCCCAGTCTTTTCACCTGATGGCTTTCCATTAACTGATGTTAATGTCGCATTTTGATCTGTTCCTTCTTGACCTCTCTCTGGTTTTTCATCCAAGGGCTTTCTGGGAACCATCTCTGATTTGGGTTTTGGCTCAGTTTCTTCTTTAATCTTCTGAGGCACACCATCTGCTTTCTTTTCTGCTACTGCCATTGTCAATTCCTTCTCTGGCTTTTGGCTATCAATAGATAGGATCTTTTCCTCACTTTTCTGTGCCTCCATATCACCAGGGCCTGTACTGGCAGATTTGGGTGGGATGGCTTGATCAGCTTTCTGGGATGGGCCTGCAAGTGCTTGTTCTTGGGTTGGTTTCACTTCTGCTTGTGAAATGATCTTCTTTGGCATTATAATGGAAAGAATTCCCTGACCAAAGTTGCTCTGAACTTTGTTCATAATGCAATTTTGAGGAACTTGGTATGCCTCTCTGAAACGGCTCCTTCTGATGCCTCCATCAATGGGTCTTTCCCCAGAAACCCTCAACAGTTTAGATGATTCGTCATATTGAACCCTTATGCGTTCCTTTGTGAAGCCTTTCAGAAGCATGAGAGAAACATAAGTTGATAAATGGATTTGAAGCTTCTATAATTTTTAATAAATAATTTAGTTTATGTTTTAAACTTTTTCATGGAAAAAATGCCATTATTAATTCAAATACATGATTTTTCAAAAAAATAATCAATTGAAATGTATTCATAAAACTTAACATGAAATTTAAATGTAAGGTAATGTTTTCTTTCATCACAAATTTGTCATATATTTTTTTTAAAATACCCCATATGAATTGAATTAAATTTATGAAAAAATATATAGCTTTTTCTGGCTTGATCTATTTTCTGGTTTGATCTATGGAAATATTGATGATTTGCTAATTATTTTTTTTTCCGGTCTTGATACACAACAATGATTTTTTATTTTTACGGATTATTTGATTGAATGAAATTGATTCATTTCAAAAGAAAGAGCTCGTACTGAAACATAAAGAAAACTAAGGCACACCTTGATATATATTCAATGACCAAAAAAACAAGAGAGAACTCCAACTGAATCCAGTTGAAATATCAAAATTTAAATTAAAATCTGCACTTTTAATAAATCCATAATTAGGCTAAGAAGCCTTATTAAGGATTTTTTAATGTTATTAAAAGAGTAAAATATCCCTTTAAGGTAGTAAATTAGTAATTGTTCCAATGAATTTATGACCTAGCTTCTTTTTTCTTGAGATGCTACTTGATGATCTATTGGTTTCACATGTTTTTTGCTCCATATAAATGTATGACTTTTTTTAATATAAGTTTATATTAAGCAATTCATATTACTCCATTTGTCCCATCAAATATTGGAAAAATTATTTTGATTTCTAATACAAGTTCATATTAATTATTAGTATGAATTTTAGTGATGAGATTATAAAATATAATACGATGAAAACGTCGACATGACAGATACAACAAAGCAGTTAAGGAAAAAAAATGATAAATTTGATGCTAAAACCTACGAATACATTAAGATTCTGATTTTTTTAATTATAAAAAGAAAATTTTTCTTCAAAAAATCATTAATTTAATAGTATTGGAATCAAGTAATTAAAAGGTTCTTGTTTCCTATCAATATATTAGAGTTAGTATAAAATAATATATTATGCATTATCAATTTTTTGCTTTTAGTATTTCTAAATTTTTTAATGTAAAATATTTTTTATAGATAAATACTATATAATGTCAAGTTTTTATGATTTGATATTTTTTTTTCAAAACAATATTATTTTAAATTATCAAAAGGTATTTTAGTCTTTTAACACTATTAAAAAATTATTAATAAGGTTCTTTTGGTCTAATTAGGAATTTTTTAAAAATATAAGTTTTAATTTGAGTTTTGATATTTCAAACGGATTTAATTAGGATTCTCTCAAAAAAAAATTATGATTCGAAAATTGAGATATATCATGCTGGCTAAAAAAACAGAGATATGTCGTATCTATTTGTGATTTTATTATTTGCTTATTGAAAGTATTTTTATTATTACAATTCAATAGTGAGATCATTTTTCTCTTATTTTTTATTTAGTTGGACTCTAATATTTAAATATTTATTATTAATTTTCAAAGTATTCAAAATATTTTTATATGTACTTAATATAAACGGTTAATATTCAATCTCAATTGTTTGATCTATGGAAATATTGATGATTTTCTAATTATAATATAAGTTTTATACGAAAATAAATAAGTTAAAAAAAATAACAAATGACACTACAAACTTAACAAATCTTAATAGCAGATAGCAAGAACTCCGCTGATTCTAATCTCATTAAAATTAAAGGAAAAAAATCGGCAGTTTTTGCCTTGTGCTACTTATTATGAGAACATTTTAACAACTTCATAAATATTAAAAAATTTAGTTAAATTCAAAAAGTTTTTATACTATAAGAAATAATAACTGCTCAATTGTCATTAGAATTTACTAGTAATTATTTTTTTTTGGGAGATGAAATCTTATTGTAATTCTCCTTTAAATTTATTTCTTGTGGATTTCAAGAATCGGCATCTACTCCATATTGCCATAAAAGCCTGAAAGAGGATTGCTAATGGAAAAGAATAGATGACTGGAATTTCAAGTTCATTCCATTCTCCATAATAAGATTTTCACTAACCAAAAACATGCACAGTTAACTTGATTTTCAGTAAACAATGTCAACTAATTAATAACTCAAGCATTCTGAATTAAAGCAATCACATTAAAAAAGAAATGTCACACCAATAGTAAGCTGTTCTAGTGACAGCACCGCCCACTATGATTGAATGAGATCTCAAATTCGAGCTCAACTTTAATATATTTGTACGTGCATGTGCGTTTAAATTGCATAACTGGGAAAAAAAGTTATTTCATTTTTTATTATGATAAAATTCAATTTTGTTGATAGTATTGGATATTTTATATTTTTTTAATTAAAAAAGGAGAAGAAAGAAGAAAATATTCTGGGAAGATGAAATATCAGAACGAAAGAAGGGAACAGGGATGAACCAGGAAGTTGAATCCGCAGGACGTGAGCTTCTGGGTTTTCTGTCAGATCAGACTTAGGCTTGAAGTCTTGATACACAGGACGCAGATTAGATGGCTGAGTCCTGAAAGCTGGTCTTCTTGGCCTCATACTCATAGCCATAATATCTTCTTTTTTCTTCTCTCTTTTTCTCAACTTTCTCTCTCGCCAAACAACAATATGTTCTAGCACACAACTCCTTCAATATAATCCAACTTTCTGGGTGTGCATGTATTTATACATATGGTTGAAAGCGTTTGCGTTCAAGAAATGATCTTTTTTTTTTCCTTGTTGAGGAGACTATTCCTTGTTGTTTGCTTTGGTTTGTC